TTTTTTTTTTTTTTTTTTTTTTTTTCGGAAAAACAAAGGAGGAGCACGATTTAATGACATCGAGGAAACGATAAATTTTATTAATTTATCGCCAATTTCGAAGAATAATACGATAAGGTTCTATTTAGTTAGAGGATTGAAAAAGAAACATATTACTTATTCTCCTTTCTTTTTCTTCTTTTTGCCAATTAGTTCGAATGAAATTTATATCGTTAAGATTACAATCCAATTGCCTCGTTCACTTACCACAATTCCCTTCGACGATCGCTCCTCGTTATCATCCTCCAGAACAGCGTCTTCCTCAATATATTTCTCAAATCGGCATCGTTGACCGACTTTTTCCTTTATTTTTCTTAAGAAAGATACATTTCGAACTCTCTTCACAAAGTTGAACACTGTTAAATTTTCTGACCGGTTCGATTCACAGATGTATATCACAAATCGGGAGAAAAGAGAAGAAGACACACGTCGGAAGAAGAGGGAGAGAATTTTGAAAAAAAATTTTCACTATCTTTCACCGCGTTACATATTCTTCCTCGTTCGAATCTATCCGCGGCGATCGATTCGAATATCGAATGGAGAAGAGGAAGAAAGAGAGTAAAACCACCTGTCCCGACTTTTGACCGGCCGCTGCGAAACACGGACGAGCAAAGAGACGCGGTAGACCGTCACTCGGGAAGTCGGTTCGCTCCATTGTTGGGAAGGGGGGAACTGGGCGACCAACCGAGCGCCTTCCTGGCCCCTGCCTCGAACAGGTGTTTACTTTCGTTGGCAGGAAATTGGACGTGTCTACGTGCCCGCTCCACACACGCGACTGGTCCCTGCCCGTCCCCCTTTTCCTCCTCTCTTCACCGCCGAAATTTCGTTTATGGGAAAAACTCGTCCACGGTAACAGAAAATTTCGAATTCTCTCTTCCGTGTATCTCTCTGACTGATCGATTTACTTTCGATCATTTTACTATCTCTCTGATCGAAGTTAACCAAAGGTTAACCCTTTGCGTTCGAATTCTATGGGAAAATCCCATCCACGGTAACAGAAAATCCTCTGTAACTCTCTGATCGATTTACTTTTAAGTAAGGTTAACTCTTGCGAATTCTATGAGAAAAATTCGTCCATGATAATAGAAAATCCTCTGTATCTCTGATCGATTTACTTTTAACCAAAGTTAATCCTTTGCGTTCGAATTTTATGGGAAAAACTCGTCCATGGTAACAGAAAATCCTCTGTATCTCTGATCGATTTACTTTTAACCAAGATTAACTCTTTGCGTTCGAATTCTATGGGAAAATCCCATTCACAGTAATAGAAAATTTCGAATTCGATTCTCTATTCCGTGTATCTCTCTGATCGATTTACTTTTAACCAAGGTTAACTCTTTGCGTTCGAATTCTATGGGAAAAATTCATCCATGGTAACAGAAAATCCTCTGTATCTCCCTAATCGATTTACTTTTAAGCAAGGTTAACCCTTACGAATTTTATGAGAAAAATTCGTCCATGGTAACAGAAAATCCTCTGTATCTCCCTGATCGATTTACTTTTAAGCAAGATTAACCCTTACGAATTCTATGAGAAAAATTCGTCCATGGTAATAGAAAATTTCGAATTCGATTTTTTATTCCTCTATATCTCTCTGATCGATTTACTTTTAACCAAGGTTAACCCTTTGCGTTCGAATTCTATGGGAAAAACCTGTTCACGGTAATAGAAAATTTCGAATTCGATTCTTTATTCCTCTATATCTCTCTGATCGATTTACTTTTAACCAAGGTTAACCCTTTGCGTTCGAATTCTATGGGAAAAACCTGTTCACGGTAATAGAAAATTTCGAATTCGATTCTTTATTCCTCTATATCTCTCTGATCGATTTACTTTTAACCAAGGTTAACCCTTTGCGTTCGAATTCTATGGGAAAAACCCGTTCACGATAATAGAAAATCTTGTAACTCTCTGATTGATTTACTTTTAACCAAAGTTAACCCTTTGCGTTCGAATTCTATGGGAAAATCCCATTCACAGTAATAGAAAATTTCGAATTCGATTCTCTATTCCGTGTATCTCTCTGATCAAAGGTTAACCCTTTGCACTCCAACGGTCACCAGTGGGATTGATGCGGCAACTTGAACGGCGACAATATTTATTTAGTTTGATTTTTTAGAATATTACTTCATAAATAGGTTCCTAAGCTCTTTACGTAATCTTATGAGGTGTAGAATAATATATTGTTAAATGGCTAGATTTTTTATCTTAAATTAGATGATAATCGTGAGTCGAACGTCATCTTCGGCGTTAGTCTGATTTCGACAGTCGTGGGAATAGAAATATTATTTTCAAAGTTTTTGAGATTTGGAAGCGTGGAGTACGGTAATGAAATTAGTTGGAGCGA